GTAACGTAACGTAACGTAACGTAACGTAAGTAACGTAACGTACGTAACGTACGTAACTACGTATACGTACGTACGTACGTACGTACGTACGTACGAGACGAGAGAGAGAGAGAGAGAGAGAGAGAGAGAGAGAGACCCATTCCAGGCACTTCATGATCATTGACAATTTCAAAATTCTTGTAGGTGTAACCCACAAAGTTTATATCCTTTGAAGAAAGCATCTGCAATCAAGTCAGACAAAACAAAATGGCATCAGTTGGAGGATTCTGAAGGAATAGAAAACTTTTGCCTGTGTTGGGTTGTATTAGTACACTAAACAGAATCAAATGAAAAATGATATATCTACTTAGAATTAATATTCACCTTAAAAACATTGGTTTCAAGGTGGAACTGAGATTTTCAGTGGTGTCTTGCATACAATTTACAGAACAGACATTCCTACTCCTTTAGGGACTACATAAGATTGGGTTTTAGGTGCTACAAAGCACATAAGAGAGAATACATATATATGTATATTTACAAAATTGGACACAACAAGAAGGAAAGCTTTATGAAACTAACTTTGCTCACCTTTCTCCATGGGCCTGACTTTGATGAAGTTTGTGTTTCCTTCCCAGACTACACTCACAAAGGTCATGAAAAATAAGAAAGATGCAACGGTGGCGAATATACATTACAACATCCTTTTAACCAAGCCTATTTGTGTGTACATGTGCAGGGAAACTTGTTTAGCCATGTGTTTGTGTTTTGTACATCTCGGGAAATACTTGATCACTACATTAGGAATGCATATATCCTTATGAACATATTCTGTATGATTCAAGAGAAGTGCATTTCCTTTGGATTTCTTATGCATTTCACCCACATTTTCACATGTAACTAGTTTTTTCTTTTTCTTTTCGTGTTTCCATATTACCTAGTTTTATGAATTATCTCATATTTCTGCTATGTCCCCTATTTGCATCCTTTGACCCACAAAGAAATTCTGAAACAACATACTTCCCGTGTTTCCCATCCATTTCCCCTTAATTTTCTAAAAATTCCCTTTCTCTATCAGTAACCGGAAAAAAACTTATTAAGACAAGGAAAATACTCCATTTTCTTTTGGTTTTCTAGATGGTCCCATTTCCAAATAATTCCCATTGACAATGCCAGGCTTCTTGCAGCTGCTACCAGAGCTTTTACCACAATACATTTCCTCTTCTAGTTACTACACTAAATTTATGCTTATGTTTTTTCATCTGTGTGAACACACCTAGAGAGTAACACAAAGATATATTAACTAAATTCTGAAGACAAACACAAATATATATCGACAAAATTCTGACTATAAATCAGACCAAAGAAGCATTGCAGAAACTCCAGGTAAAAAATCTGACTAACATTACCTCTTCAAACTTCTCAAAATTTTGAGTGTCTAAGTCATCATTGACTTCTGGAATAAATGCAGCTTCCATCTGGTACAACCTGTCCCATTGAAGGCCTTCAAACCAAGGATGTTCCTAATATAGTTGAACAAATCACAAAATCATATCATTCACTGAGTATACATGTTGTTCTTGAGAAAAAGAAAAGCATGTCGCACTGTACTTCATGAAACAAAGTAACAAACCTTAATTTCATGGGCTCCTTTAGTCCCAAGCCTCAGTTCAACATTGCATAACAACCTACTAATAAGATCTCTGGCTTCAACTGAGAGCTTGGCTTCTTCAGGGAACTTCAAATGTGTTCTCCAGTTCACTATCTACATAAAAGAAAAATAAAATCAATAAACCAAGAGTTGAAGTGCAAACTTAGCTGTGGACTGACACTATTGCACGGGGTTCAGTCATTCAATGGTCAGACAGGATCAGTATCCACTGCTCTGTTTTACCAAATGACTTGCTTCATTTGTTGTGAGTGATGGAAATAACACAAAGGACAAAAGCAAACAATCTAATTATCTTGGGAATTGCAAACAGGCAGTTGTTTAAACACTACATGGTAGAAATTCATCTCTTTAGAAAACACCAAAACTCCAAATTTGGCAGAACAAACCCTCTCCCAAATGATGCAAGAAAAAATAATAACAGGAAAATAAAAATAAAATAAAAAGGATTTTGAGAGATTATACCCTCTGTCTAGATCTGCAACGGAGTCTACCCCAAAATCTTTCCACAAGATCAAACTCTTTACTCAATCACCAATAATCTCTATTACAAAAAAAAAAAAGGACAACTTCCATTTGAATACACTTACAAAGAAAAATAAATAAATAAAGAAAACCTACAAGACAAAATAACGTTGTCTCTCTCTTTCCTATGATTTTCTCTCTCCATATTCTCTCTCATCACATGAATCTCTATTTCTCCCTATCTTCTCAAGTAAATCTCCCTAAAATCTCTATCAAATAATATCTCCTTAGATTTAGGAAATAACCAACGTAGCCTGTCCTTATCCTCACACACCAACTCCTCCCATATCTCTAACACATGATAAGCTATCCAAAAACAAAACAAGTAACCTAAAATTCTAAATTAAATATCCATTATACCCCTCAAATCTCTACAACAAAAAAATTAAAAAATAACACTTAAAGAAAATAAAAACTGAACCTAAATCTAAAAATCTAACAATAGTAAAATTAAAAAAAATAAAAATTAAAAAACCCATTGCATCGCAATGGAATTTTAGGAGGAAAGAACTGTAAATTGTTGTTTAATATGACACTGAGCAAGTTGTGTAATAAAGACATACTGGACAACAAAGAGGAATGCTCGCGGTATAGTTGTTCCAAAATTTAAGGCCACCAGAGTATATTATCCTTTCCTTTGAGCAACACATTCCAAACAAATATATATAGAGAGATAGGTTCACATTGCAGTACTCAATCATATGAGTATTCCCTTAATGTACTCAACTTTTTTTGAGACTCATATACCCTTGTTTTGCAATACAAATTTTTTTTATTACAGGAATTTTTCATCATTAGGAGGTATGATAGATATTTATAAGAAAGTAGTGGTATTTATTAGTGGTTAAGAGGCGATTATTGCTCAATGTGGGTCATGTCACAATGATGTCATCATCCACTATAGTTTCTAAATTTCTTCTTTCTATCAAGAATTCCAATTTTACCCATGTTTAATTACCTAAAATACCCATAAGCAAAAATGTTACTACATGATAGAGGAAAGGTATTGAATGTCCAAAAATGTTGAGTACATAATTAAGTTGCCGCATTTAGGAATGGATAATACCATATGATGAGAATCCTGTATCATTAAAGAACTCTAACACTACTTCCATATATTTTAGTTCTACTGACCTTTCTGCAAGTTGACATTGGTTCGTCTGAATAAAATGGCGGATACCCTACAAGCATCTCATACATGATAGCTCCAAGAGACCACCTATAAAGAACATGACCAGAGATATATTACTACATAATTTTTTTTAAAAAAAGCAGTAGCAAAACACATATCACAAGTACATAATTAATAAATCTGATAAACTACCAGTCACACTCCATTCCATAACCCTTTTTCAGCAGAACTTCTGGAGCAATATAATCAGGTGTGCCAACTGTGGAATAAGCCTGCAGATTTCTCAGCATCAGTATAGAAAACCTTAATTCCAAGGAGGTGCAGTGTAATGTAAAATTGAAAATTTTCACGCTGTAAGGAAATTACTTATGGCCACAAGTTTAAGGAAAATAGCTGAGTTACAAGAAATAAATAAAAATAAATTCTGACATACAAGTACAACATAAACATTGCCACCACTCAATTTCATTATAGATGCTCATAATATCATAACACCAACACTTACATTTATAATTCAGTGAGCAAGTGAAACTAGATGGATCTTTATACAATTCAGGATTTTAAGATAGAAGTTTTACCAGCATGCGTCTGTTCCTTTGCCAATGCAATAGTTGCTCCTGTTGTGTGCGCTTTGGTGCATTAGAAATGTGGGATTTCCCATCAGTTGCAAGTGATCCACTTAAGTTTTTCCCCAGTGTCATGTCATTCTCATGTAGACTTGGCAGCGTACTACAATCTAACGGTTTACATAAACCAAAGTCGGACAGCTTCATGTGACCATATCTATCCAGCAAGAGATTGTCAGGCTTGATGTCTCTGTTAAATGCCAGAAAAAGAGAGATTGTTCAATAAAGCTAGATTAAAAAATAAGATACATGCACCTTTCTTGCACAAATTATGGAAAAAGAGCATTTGGCCACAAACCTATGAATGTAGTTGTGCTTATGGATAGATTCAATAGCCAAAACCGTTTGTCCAACATAAAACCTGGCTTCATCTTCGTTCAATGTATCCTTTCTCATGAGTAATGTCATCATATCCCCACCAGGGAGATATTCCATGATAAGATACAAATATTCCTCATCTTGGAAAGAACAATAAAGTTTCACAATGCAGTTGCTGTCAACCTCAGCAAGGAGGTTCCTCTCAGCTTTAACATGTTCAACCTGAGCAACATTTGGAGGTATAAATGAAATCATAACAAGAAAAATATAAAGCACTACCAAGAGAGAAGTTTCAGTACACAAACATTTCTACCTGCCCTCTTCGAAGCATCTCTGATTTCTTAAGCTTCTTCATTGCGTACACATTGTCAGTTGCCTTCTCTCTGCAAATTCTGACCTGCACTATAAAATTAAAATTACAACCAACAGAAAATCATCAAAATGTAATAAACTAGAGCGAGATGATGGTGTAAGCAGCAAACAATACATAAATGCAAGCACAGAAAGTCCTACCAAAAGAACAATTTTCATATCATGCTCGAATGAAATATAGGAAGATTCAATAGCTTAGTTTATATGTGTAGGTGTGTGCGTGTGTGTGTGTGTGTGGGTGTGTGTGGGTGGGAGTGTGTGTGTCTCGGTGTGCATTTGTAACGATCAAATTGCCTCAATGGAAGATGTGGCAATATGACAAGTTTTTGGTCATGCAAACTAAAACAACAGAGAAATAGTCTATTTGACTTGTGGAGGCTACTAGTCAATGGTGCATGATGAAAATTATCTTCAAACAGTAACCAACAGAATACAAAAATGAAATGGAGTGACAACTTAATCATAAACATATCTGGTTCTATAGTTCAATGACAATTGTCAGTATGGACAAAACTGCTAAGGTGGATCATCTCTTCAAAAACATCACCACAAAAGCGCACACAGTCACAGATATATGAAAACTTTTAAAAACTAATGGAATAAAAAATAAAAAGACTAAAATAATCAGTTTAAGAAGACCTGATCAGATGAGAATGGTATATAAATAAATGCCTAGCTAATTGCTGGGGCAAAACTGCATGCAACAATATTGCACATATATCTAGCCAGTGAACTAGCAAAGAGCACGAAAAGAAATTGATTCCAAACTAATAAGAATATAGAACAATGATTTCATGAAATAGTCAAATCAGAGGATACTACTAAAAATAATAAACTCAGCAATCAATTTCTAGGGAACCATATGGAAACTGTAAGGGGTTTAAGAAGGAAAGACCTCTCCAAATGCACCTCTCCCTATGATTGTCAGGAGTTCAAAATCATCAGCACCCATTTTATGCCTCTGAAGGCGCATATACTCAGTTTCCTTTTTCTCCAAATGCTTAAGAAGATTGTTTTGCTCTTCCTCTGACACATCTGCATCCGCCAACTTCCTCTCCAAAACCCAGCGTCTAAACGCAAACAGAATAAATTAAACACAAAAAAATGAATCAATTTAGCATATTCAGAAAGTATATCATTACTCTAAATTGTCTGGATAACAAATGAGAAGCACAGAATCCATGATTCATGGTATAATAGAAATACCAAAGAAGCAGTTAAACAGGTTAGTTGTCAACCTTCAAGACTGAATGCCATACTGTTTTAACCTCTGTGCTTTAATTAAAATTAGTAATCAGTTATTCTTCATCCTGGTTTACTCACGATAAAATACCATGAGCCCATTCATTTTCTTGATCTAGTCAATGTCCACATCGGTTAACCTAGAAGTCGATAGCACTAGCTAGAATGCTATATTTTCTCTTCATTTTCGGGTATGACCATCCCAAAATATTGCATATAACAGGCGCACAATACATCATGCACAGGGGTTGGAGGCCATGCCCCTTTCCTCTCTGGCTTTACCAATTTCATCAGATATCATCAAGAGGATAATAATTTTGTGTTTCTGTAAACCTAAGGGGACACCAACTATTAGTTATGACTTAGTAGAAATGTGGAATAAACAAGGAAACCCGCAATTATACAAGAATGAGAAACCCGAAGTAGGCATAACCAGTTTTTAGAATATTGAAAAGGCAGCAAAAAAACACTACATACCTCTCCTTTCTCTCCTGCAAATTTTTCATCTGAGATTTATAATGGTTCTCAATGTATTGCTTTGCAGCAGCCACCTTCTGTTTTGTGACATTAGAAGCAGCTTCCTCGCTAACAGGCTTTGGTGCCTCATTTACGTTTGTTGTTTCTCTTTTCTTACTTGAAGATCTCAATTTATCTCTGGGTTGAAATTTATGAAACCAGCTCTTTGCAGAATCCATTCTGGCCTTCACACCATTCAAACATCAACAATCAAATGCAAAGTCTCTCAAGAACTCGATATCTCCTCCACCAAATCTAATCAAAACAATAAGAACCTTGATTCAACCAAAAGCGGATATGTATTTAAATTCCCAAATTCAACTATTAAAAAACCAGACATCAGCACCCTAGTTATTTAGATGATGATCTGCCTCTCAAAATTATATACATTGCCTATAAATCCCCTATTCTATCCAAAATGACCTCTATTATTGCCCTTAAGACAAGTGTCACAAAACATGAAGCCCCAAAATTCAATTTTACAAAAAGAAAAATCTCTGTAACCCTGAGTAATTATACATAATCCATTAAAGTGATTTTTGCAACCAACGAGATCACTGTTGTTGAATTTCAACCCAGGAACCCTTTATCTCTGCTCTGACTCCCCAAAAAACCCAATAAAAGTGGTAGATTGGTTCTGATGCCTCTATTCATCAGATAAAAACTTTTGAAAACCAGTCAAATGCCCCAAAACCGAAACCCACAGTTTTCTTTGTATTTACAGTCATTCTCAAATCTCAACTTCCACTAATTCCTTCCATTCAAATAAGATCAAACCAAAATCTCCTAAAACCCTTCATTTCTAATACAAAAAATCACAATCCACTCAACACCATCTTTTTTTCACCAAAACTCACAAAGAAAAACCAACAAATACAGATTGAAAGCGAAATCTTGAGGGAAATCATAAGCAAAGCCTGAGCACTTCCATTTCATGACAATGCACCATTTTCGTAGCGGAGAAAAACCAAGGAAATTGAGGTCCACATATTTGTAGTCAAGGTCTTACCCGTAAACAGAAATTCCTTTGGGAAGAAAAAGGCGCGAATGCTTTCTAGAGATGAGAGAGAAAGTGGCACTTTTCCACATAGAGGGAGACAGCCCCACTTTTCAAGCGGCATAGAGAGAGAAGGCCACAAATTAGACATGGAGAGAGCCATGCATTTTCTAGAGAGAGAAAGACAACTAACTTTTACCGATAGAGAGAGAAAATTAGCAATTTTCTCCAGAAATAACGCCGAAATCAGAGCTAGAGAGTTGCATTTCCTAGAGAGAGAGAGGGCCAAAACTATCTGAGAGAGAGTAGCAATTTCCTAGAGAGAGAGAGTTGCACTTTTTCAGAGAAAACGAAAGAGAGATCACAATGATTTTAGAGAGAAAGGGGGAGACAGAAATCCCGCTTTTCCAGAGAGGGACTAGAGGTAGAGAGAGAGATGTCTTTAAGAGTGAGGGAGAAAGATAATATTTTAGAGAGAGAAAATCCCGCTTTTCTAGAGAGAGAAAGTTTGTAGTGTCGAGAGATAATTGATTTTTTAGACAGAGAGAGATAACCTTTTAGAGAGAGAGATAACCTTTTAGAGAGAGAGAACAATTGCAGGGAAGAGAGAGATATGATGTTTTAGACGGAGAGTGAGAGGGGTAATCGTTTAGAGAGAGAAATTCCGCTTTTTTAGAGAGAGAGGGAACTGCAAAGGAAGAGAGATATATGAGTTTTTAGAGTGAAACAAAAACTCCGCTTTTCTAGAGAGAGAAACAGTTGCAGAGAGAGAGAACCATTCTTTCTCCCCGCCTTTCGCGAGCAATCGAAAAGATTTGAGAGAGAGAGAAAAGGTGCGATTTAAATAGGTTTTGCCCCCTCCAAGAAGCGTCGTTAAAGCTCGAGCAACTCCTGCTGACGTGGCGAACAGGACGCTATTCAATTCCCAATGGGTCTCCCCTTTAGAAGCGGGTAAGGGGTTCGTTAAATATCGAGCAGGTTGTTTACTGACGTGGACCAATCAGGTCCCGAAAAAAGCGCGGGGAATAATAAACCCCAACTGCCTCTCGTGTTTCGAGCCGTAATATGCGCTTCGATTAAGAGAGAGAAAGTAAGAGAGAGACTAAAATGGCCCAAATGTATCCTTCAACAATTCGAGAATGTCATTTACAGCCTTGCAGGATGCAATGTTGTTTTTTTAAGAGAAATTAACAAAAACAAAAAAATTATATTTTAAAAGGAAAAAGTTTATG